TCGACTAGAACTTGCAAGGGCAATCATCAAGCATTTATACTCTCTATCCATTGTTGAACAGGAAGGGTTTAGAAGCTTCTGCAACAGCTTGAATCCTTGTTTTAAGATGGTATGCAGAAATACCATTAAGAAGGATTGTGTGAGCATTTTTTTCCATAAAAAAACTACAATAAAGTTGTTTGAAAAGAATGAAGGGAGGGTGGCAGTGACCACAAACATGTGGACATCTACTCACTAGAAGAAGGGGTTTATGGCTATGACAATCCATTTTATTGACAACAATTGGAACGTACAAAGTCGGCTCATCAGGTATCTTTTCATTCTTGATTTGATTAGTGTTCTTTGTTGTATTTAGTGTTCTATGTTGAGTTTAGTGTTCTTTGCTTAATGATATTATTGTTTATCTTTGTAGATTTATTTATGTTTCTGCTCCCCATACTAGTGATGTTCTCGGTGAATGTCTTCTGCATGATCTGATGGATCGGAATATCGACAACAAACTATCTGCAATCATTGTGGATAATTGTTCCACCAATGATGAGATGATAACTTTGCTTATGGAGAAGGTGCCAACAAATTCGTGTATGTTAGGTGGTAGTATGCTCCACATGCGATGTTCTGCCCAGCTCCTGAATCTAATTGTGAAGGAAGGACTTAAATCAATTGGAGATGCAATTGAAAGGATTCACAACAATTGTAAGTTCTGGTCGGCAACACCAAAAAGGTACGAAACTTTTGAGAAACAACTCATCAAAAAAAACCTTAAAGTGGCAAAAAGCTAGTTCTTGATTGTGAAAATCGCTGGGAATCTGCTTACTTGATGCTTGATACTGCAATGGGATACAATGATGTGTTTTTCACATAAAAATCGTGAGGCCTTGTATAAAAATATGCCTACTGAGCAAGACTGGGAAATGACTAGTGTAATATGCAGCAAGTGGTTTGTTTGTGGAACTGAGGTGATTGAATCAATGTCATCAGACAAGTTTGACAAGTACAGGTCGAGTGTGAATGTTTTGATGGGAGTAGCTGTTGTTTTTTATCTAAGATATAAGAATGAGGTGATGATGTGCTACTTTCCTAAAACTTATCGTATGGATAGTAAGGATGAGATAGAGAACATACTTAGATACTGTCGTCATTTGCTTGCTGAGTATGAGGAGAAAGAAAGAGAAGAGGAACAAGCAGGGGCGGACCCACTTACAAGAGTGGTTTGTCAATTGACCACCTTACATGAAAATTTTGGACAAATTACTAGTGTAAAATTTGATTTCGGTGATGGCAGTATATGAATTTGAAATTATTTGACAAACCTTAGTGATTTTGATTCATCGTTGAATACTCTTGATGAAATTTCTGGGTTCGCCACTAGGAAAGAGTGAATGTTGCTAATGGGGGCGGTGGAGAAGCAAATGGTTCTGAAAATTGTTTTGCTCTTGAGTTTCACTTATACGCCTCCAGCAAGAAAAGGAAAGGACATGTGAGATCAGAGTTGGATGCATATTTGGAAGCAATATAATTAGGAACATCCCTGATTTTGATGACATGTCTTGGTGGAGGTTCAATAAGGGGAAGTATCCTCTTTTCCACAAAGTTGCTAGAGATATTCTGGATATTCCAGCTTCAACAGTTGCTACAGAATTGGCCCTGTACAAGTTGAATGATCATCAGTCCTCAACGTAGCAGACTTCACCCCAAGACCGTGGAAGCCTTAATGTGTGAACAAAACTGGCTGAATTCTGAAGGTATATGTTTTTTTTTTTTATTTCTCACCACTATCTCTCTTTGTTTTCTATTATGCAACTCTGTTTTTCCATTGACTTTCTGAGGTATGATACTTATGTGCTGAATGATTGTGAAAAACAGTTGATCCTTTGGAGGATGATTATTGTGATGATGATGATGATGATGATGATGATAAGGTGGCAAATAAGGCTTGAAGATTGAAGTGGGTTGCTTGTTGGGAATTGTTGTGTTGGGCTGCTGTGGGAGATTGAAGTTGTTATGATGTGTTTTACTTCTTTTAGAAGAGGAGTTCTTGCTGGAATGTTATAATTTCTATCTTATTTTGTTTTGAAGATTTCTGATTTTGAACCTTATTTTCAGTTTGATGTTTTGGTGTTTCGGAAGACTTGAATTTTGTACTTCTAATTCTGTTGGAATGGTTTAAGCAGGTTATTTTCTTCCTTTTATCAATTATCAGTTTGTGCACTTGTTTTGGATTATTACTGAACAGGGTGGATTTGGATCGGCCCCGGCTTGTGCGGGTTGGGGCGTGAGTCACCATAAGCGGGCCCGTGGTGGGTTTTGGGGCGGGGCGGGGTTGGGTTGGGTTGAGCACTACCCGACCCATTTTGGCCCATTGACATCCCTAGGTTTGTGTGACTGGTCCCGAGTTTTATACTCTTTTAGGGGATTGGACAAGGCTTAATGCTTAAGTTTGTTTCTAGATTCAGCTTTGATTAGAGTGGTTTGAAAACTAGTTTACAAATATCTATCTCTACAAATATTATAATGGAGATTCATGGGTTAAATTTTCTCCATTTAAAATTTCCTGTCATGAGAGTGATTCATGGAGGGGTTAAAATGACTTTTCCCACTGCTTAATTATGGACGTTGTGTTTTGTCTTTCACATCCCTTCCACCCCTGCTAAGTGCTAAGCTTCAGTTTCTTCTTTGCTTATACTCTCTCGCCCTCCGAGCCCAACTGCAGTAGACGATTCACACGACCAGTTTCTCTCTTAGCCTTTGGTTTTGTCTTCCTCCTCCCATCTCTTAGCCTTTGGTTTTTTCTCACCTTAGTCATCAACTCCAATCAAGGGTTTCGGATCCGCGTTCACTACCAAGACCTCTAACTATAAGGAGAAGTTCAAATTAACTCCACTATAGGTGCAATCAAGAATGGGTACAACACGATGGATAGAAGTAGGATTGCCAAGACGTCGTCCACTGCCAGGAAGATGGTTAGTTAGTCTCCACTATAAATCCAATTTCCCCTCCGATCGGCATATCAAAAGTCATATTTCCATCTTGTATGTGATTTCTTTTATCTCTTGCTGCAACATAGTATCTTTTTGGGTTTTTAGGCTGATTTGTTCTGGGTAAGTTCCATTCCCCTCTTTGTTGACACTATTATAAGACGAATTGTTACTTATATTGATAGTTTGAAATAGTCGTCTAATGCTAGCTTTGCTAAACTTGATTATCGTTTGGATGGAAGTAGCAACTCTAATATTGTTATAGGCTACATTTATAGTGGTTTTGATTCCCGTAGATGATAGTTTAATGATTCAGCAATGATTGATGTCGCAATGACAACTTAAATTCCAGCAACTAGAAGTAGAGCTCTCATCTAATTCTATGTTGCAGTTATAGTGATTGATTTTACAAGTAGAAGCTCCAATCGCATTAATAAGGGTTTGAATTACTTCTGCAATAGACTTCCATAGTTATACTGCACAATTTGGGTAAAGCATATTACATTATTACTATTATACAGTCTAGGAGCCACCCACTTTTAAGTTTACATTATTTACAAGTTGAAGATTTTTTCATCTGCCATAACCCAGCTATCCCCAACACTAGCTCAAACAATTAATTATGGATGAATATGCTAGGGGAATTCCAGTCTAGGAAACACATAATAAGGAAGTGGCTCCCCCTTTAACTTTGTATGTCGAAAGCATATATATCTATAAATACTACATATAGCATAATTCAGAGAGCATCTACTGATAGAATTATTTATAGCTGGATTTCAATTTATTGAAGCACTTATGACCATCAACTTAAGTGCCTCACATCCGCTGGTCAGCGGGGCAATGTATTTCAATACAACATATTATTTCACCTTTACAAATTGTTGTATTTGTTCATTATAGTCTGTTACAGTGTTATGTTATACTAATTTGTTTTGGATTAATCTTCCAAGGGAAGCAGCAAGCCACTTTACCACAACCCAGTGGTCCTGCCCAACAACAAACTGTTGCAGATAGGAAACACCTAACTCAAGGTACGATAAAACACTACAACAAATTTGGCCTATTATGGCAAAACTTATTTTTTGTCATTTTCAGGTTGTCACAATAAGGTGTGTAATATGACAAAACACGAATTTGTCCTATTAGATGAGCATAATGTGACAATGTTAAGTGTTGTCATTATAGTTTGTCATAATAGGAGGGTACTGTGACAAATAGCTTATGTCACAAATAATGTTGTCAAAATAGGCATTCCATATAGGGATGTAGGAGACTCAAAAGTGACAAAGTTAATCTTCAGAGTAGCATTCATCATATTATGTTGTCATGACATGTTCAAATGACAAAGCATGTTGTCATAATAGACATTATTCTTCCCACGACGAGCTGTCAAAATGCAGGTTCGTCATAATTTATTGGTTTTGCTTTTCATTATGTCAAATTAAATTGTCATAATAACAATTAGGCACAATTAAAATATACTTTTCGTTTTAGCGTGTGAAAATTAGAGTTTGCCGGTCGGCTTTTCAGTGTTGGGAAAATTTCCCTCTCCTTCCCAAGATTGTCAACTCGATTTGGCCAGTTGGCCCAATTGACCCGGTCGGCCAAGTGGGTGGTGGGTTAATGGGCTGATCAGATTATCCGGATTTATAAGTAAAATAATATTTTAACACTTAAATGATTTTAAATATAGCATTTAGTAATTTTATATTATAATATATGTTTTGTTAACTTGAAATCCGACGTTGCAACTTGCAATTCAAGTTGATTGAAAAATAATAATGGATTATTCCACTCTAATTCAAGTTTACTTAAAATTGGATGACAAAAAAAATTACTTAAGATTGGAGAATAAAGACGTTTCATTAAAGTCCCTAAGTCCAATTCACTTGGCCGCCCAATTCATAAAAAAACGAAAACTCACTTGGCCTCCCAAATATTCAGTTAGCCGCCCAATTCACTAATTCCGGTTTGGGTTTTGTAGAAACCCTAGCCACCTTCTATCTCATATTTTCGCCCTCCCCTTTATGTTATCTCTCTCGATCTCTGGCTACAGAACGAACAAGGAAACCTTCTTGTATTGCATCTTCCCTCTCCTCTTCTGCTCAATCCTTCTTCTTCCTTCTCACGCTTTTGTCTCTCGATTCGCCTCTCTTTGCTCTTTCTTTTGTCTCCCGAGCAGGGAGGAAATCTCTTTCCTTCACCTCGTTCTTTCTGGAAACGTCGAGGGAAAAAGAAGACAAAGGCGGCAGCGAGGATGGAGGCAGCCGAGGCCGACGACGATTTCAAAGACGACATAGGTAGGATCCGTCTTTTTCATTGCATGTCGATTTTTAAGGTTTGAGTTTAGGGTTCTTATTTTTTTTAATCTTATTTTTTGGATTGATGGCGAGGTTTTTGGTCTCAGAGAAAAAGGAGGAAAAGGTCACCGGCTCTGGAATCGATCACCAACATAGGGGAGCGCAGTGGAGGAAAAAGGGAGCCACCGGTGACAGAGAAACATGAGGAACCCGGTAGGTCTGGTTTTTTTGTTCGATTGTTTTTTCCTTTGAATAGTTTTGAGTTTTGACTTTAGTTTGTTGTTTTTGTTTTGGTTTCAAACGAGGAGGGAAGCAAGGGATCCGTCGTCAGTAGCCTCTGGTTTCGCCGGTGACGAAGTCAATACGTCATATTATTGTACATTACTTGACAAGAGGCACATACAACAACTTCCCCGACAATCTGAAATCATCATAATAGCATTTATAACAAAATATAATCTTGTAACATGAATAACAATTCTGAATAAATCGAAAAATTATGAAAAAATTAATGACAAAACATTTCGTCATAAAATCTTCGTTCGTCACAATAGATTAACTAGAACGTAAGCTAAACTGACAAACCAAACTCCAAATGTGACAAACCCCACCCTTATGGTGACAAAATTATTCGTCACTTTTTTACCATTTATATGACACATGAATATTTCACAAAATCATAAGGCAAATGTGACAAATATATTTTAAAATTTTGTCACATTTTACCTATCTTGACGGAGATTAAATGACAACACGTTGTGACAACAACATTTGTCATAACATACTTAATCTGACAAAACATAGTCCTAATATGACAAAAACCTACCGTCACAATAGGCCGAATTTGTTGTAGTGAAAGACACACTATATATTAATATAGTCTATTCTAATTAGATTAACTTTAATTTCATCAAGGTCATATAGTGTTACTATTCATATAAATTTATTGTAGGAACCTACTACTTGAAGATATTGATGAAGTGCACACCCAACTTTCCTCGCCAGCAAGGACATTAAATGTTGAGTTACCACCACACCGATAAATCTTCAGTCCATTGTCTAGATGGTACCGTTACTTCCATTTGAAGGAAGCATAATGAGTTGTTATTACCATAATGTCATTTCTTCATATTTCAGTTTCAGTAGTGGTTAGATCACCCCTTCCTTTATGGGTTGTATTTTCATATAAACACATTTCGATAATCATAATAAGAATGGTTTGATCAGCAATAGTTTAAGAGAGCATGAAATTAATCTTTTACTTAAATTGGACAATGATCAATCCAAAGAATGAATGGTTTGTTTTGATAGACTTCACATTACTCTAGATTATTGTGTTCTTCGTATATTGATAGGAAAAGTTTTCTTCCATAATTTCTAGGATCATTGTTCTTTTCCTGGATAAATTTTCCTACTTCGAGGTCCATACTCACAGATTAACCATAAAGTTCATGGCGCTAGAATGCTTTGTGTACAATCTTTATCTCTCCCTTAAAGTAATGTTGATTGGGTCTTATGGGCACCTTGGTTCCTGTTTTCTTCATCTAACAACTTTATGATTTGTTTGTTTGATAAGTTTTTAGAAGGATGGTTTTGGGTTACGTTTTAATATATTAAGCTGTTATATTGAATGACCATACGGTCAATTGGATACTTTCCCCAATTTGCAGACTTTGATTCTATTGAAAACATATTAAGAAGTAGTATTAATCTTCTGATTAATTCATGGCCGAATACAAACTAAGATAGGAACATCAATGATACATACGAAATACATAACCATCGAACCCCGTCCAACAGGCCGGGCCCTTGGTTCATTATAATTCCCGGTGGGCCTTATGCCGAGTGGGCTTAGTAATTAGTTAATTATTGTTAGTTAATTATTGAGTTAATTAGTTATTTAGAGATATTCGTATTAGTTTATTGTTACTTGTTGAGTAAGTTATTAGTTATTAGGGTTAGCTATTAGGCTTTCTTGTGTTTCCCTATAAACATGTACGTTGTGGTTCAGTTATGAATAAGAAGAAGATTATTCCAGTAATTATCATAGTTGTTTAGAAGTATAAGTAAAGTAATTTAACGATCTTCGACGCGTGAATTCTATCACGCGCCAATTGGTATCAAGGCCTGGTTCCGACGATCTGAGCTCACTGCTGCAGCTCCCAGGGCAGACATCGTCAATGTTCGAGCACCAACGTTGGGAAGAGGTCCCGCGAGCAACCCCTACACTGCCAATACTGTTGAAAGTCGCTATGCCTGATCGATATCAGTTTATACGCGATATGCTGAATGAGCAAGAGCTTCTTGATCTTCGGGAGGAAGAAGAACGGTTTGAAAATATCGTTCGTCGTCGATCGTCATCCAACCGCCAGTCACGATTCCCTCTGCAGTCCTCGCGGACGCAATCGTTTCTGATCCCATCCTATCAACCGCCACCAAAGTTCCCATGGCCAACGTCACTGGACGTTTGCCATGCATCGCTAGAGGTTACGACATCGTATCTTGCTGCCGACCCCTTTGATGGAGGTCACGTTGGAGTCTGTCGGCCGACGCAACAACCTCTCGACGAACCCTGACTGGATTGCGTCTTGAAAGCACTTTAGAAGGAGCAACAATCCTTTGATAGGTACTGCGAGAAGGTGGAGGCCCTCGACAAGCACCGGCCGGAAGCCTATCGAGCTTTCCCTATCACAGCTACAACCGCCAGAGTTCCGGCCACGCCAGCACCGCCAGAAGTTGTTCCTGTCACCGCTGCTGCCATAGAAGGAAATCATCCGCCCGCCACTGCTGTTTCCATCGTCGGCAACGTACCAACATTCCCTACTACCACGTCACTACCACCTTCAAGCGATGTTCTGTCGCCGCCACTATCGTCAGCCCAAGAATCAGGTGCCCTAGTCGATGACAAAGGAACTGCAGAGATTCCTGGGAACCAGATCGTCAACCACTCCACCGGTTTGGCGTGTGTGACGTTTCCCATGACAGCCATGTCGACTGCTGCTCCACTCGTCGCCTTACCGCCACCGTGGCTGGAACTCCTTGGCCAAACCTTCAACATTGGCAAGGTTTCTCTGGTGCCGCCACTCGGGGACATTATTTCTTATGACCCCATCGTCACCAAATAAGTTCTGAAAGTCATCAATTTTGGCACCATTGTGGACGCATCAAAGGGGTCTCGAAATTCAGGGACATATATCGCAACTGAAGGCATATTTGATTTTTCCAAATATGGTGTGAAGATGAAGGCAGGGAGGGCCATAAAATTGACGGGAGAGATCGTTGAAGGCGCTGTCCGCACGGAACATAAGCCTTCCTCGACGACCGCTCTTGGGCATGGGTCCGCCTCGGTTGCTAATGCTCGCTATGTTGATGCTTCGTCCGTCTTGGTGCCTCAATTCCCGATTGTTGTTGCCACACCCGCCACTGCTAACGAGGGGGATATACTGGAGGATATTTCAGCCACGCCAGCTACTCCATTTGTGGAAACGATCATCGAGCCGCCCATCCGAACAACAACATCATCACCACTGTTGCACGTAAGCTCCACGGTAACTCTTATGGCCTACAGTGAAGTTTGTCCTTTCAATATTAGTTACGTACCTATGAAGGTAAGAACTAATATAGATATGATGGATGGAGGAAGTTTGGGTTGGTTATGGGTGCCTGGGCCTAGTTGGCATCTTAGTAAAAAGGGTGATGGTGATTATCGAGACCCTTTCATTAAGGGGATGTTGTTGACTGCTAGGGAAAGGTTGCTAGGTTGCTGGGTCTCGAGATGGTTACATAAAGTTATAAGAACATGGAACGAGCATGAAGAAGGAGAACTCGAGGAACTTCTTTTCTCCATAACGAGAGCGGAGGCCACTATGGGTAATTACCGGATATGTCTGATACCAGGCCATAATTGGAATTTGGAAGTACCGAAAGCGAGAGGATCATGGTTCAACTCTCATCGTCGACCATCACAAGCTACGTGGAAGCTTCTTCTTCATCGATCCGGGTTGAAGATGACGCCTGAACTTCGGGGATAAAGTTCTTCAAAGGGGGAGGTTTGGTGCATTATAACTCCCGGTGGGCCTTATGCCAAGTGAGCTTAGTAATTAGTTAATTGTTGATTTAATTACTTATTTAGAGATATTCGTATTAGTTTATTGTTACTTGTTGAGTAAGTTATTAGTTTACCTTGTTGGAGTGGGATAGGGTTAGCTATTAGGCTTTCTTGTGTTTTCCTATAAATATGTACGTTGTGGTTCAGTTATGAATAAGAAGAAGATTATTTCAGTAGTTATCTTAGTTGTTTAGAAGTAGAAGTAACGTAATTTAGCGATCTTCGACGCGTGAATTCTATCACGCGCCAGCCTTGTGCTAGTGTGTTTTAAGAATTGTGCGCTTGTGTATATGCATTTGATGATTCAAGAGTTATATAAGTGTTTACGGTAATGGCTAGTTAGGAAGCCAGATTTTTAGAGTTACCTAGTTAAGATTTTTTCAATTTCGGAATTGGGTCGACCTATTCTGTTTTAGAGAGTTAACACTCGAAAAACTCAGTCAGGTTTATTGCTCATAACCAAGGTTAATGTTCATTGGTATAGGAGTGGTTTTGATGGTGGCTTTCTATGGTAGCTGTTTTGTTTATGCTTTTGTTGATGATCATAGCGGTGGGAGATCACACTATTAGAGATATGGAGCGGTAACCAGCGGGACTGTGTGAGAGAAAGCAGGCCATCACGACGACTGTCCATCTTCTCATCTCTTCGTCTTCTACATCAAGCAATTGGAATCGAGAAGGGAGTCTCAGATATTCTCTTATTCTTTTGGGTTATAGGTATAATATGCCCCTCTACTATATATGTCGTTCTATCAAACATGCCCTTTTCATATTTTTTAGATCAAACATGCCCCCTGTACTTTGGAAAAATGATCAAACATGCCCTTCTATTAAAATTTTCCTCCAAAAACCGTCAACTATATATGGTCGGACCTTTGTTTGGGAGACACAAATGTCTAAAATATCCCTAATAATTTCGCTTTAGAATTTTTTTTGGTTCTTTTGTATAGCCAAATACCTCTAATAATTTCACTTTAACGAGACCTAGAGAAATAAATCAGAGGACAAAATTAACATTTTCCCTCTCATTTGCCAATGTCGGGTCATCTAAATCTCGGTTCAACCATGGTTGACATTTTTTTCAGTGGAAATTTTAGCAAAAGGGCATGTCTGATCAGTTTTCCAAAGTACGAAGGCATGTTTGATGTAAATAAATAGTAGAGGGGCATATATTTATAAAACTCCATGATAAATGAGCATGTTATACCTATAACCCTATTCTTTTCAAAACTTCAATTTTGTTAAAATTTTAATTAACAGTTTCAAATTCATTTAGTGCATTACGCATTACAACTTTTGGTTATATTAATGGGTTGTCAATCAATTATTTTGGCTATCTCCGTAAGTTCTGTAACAATATTGAAAAGCTGAATTATGGTTATTTTGGCTAATTTATAAT